ATTATTAAGAAAAGACCTTCTAAATTATTAGTGCATATTACCCAAATATTAATTACTGAAATACATGGCCATAAATCACCAGCCAGATGATTCTAGTTGAATATTGGGAAGATCAGCACTGCTACTAAGAATCATATACATCAAAGGTCATTTCAGAATTAGTAATTTGTACAATTATGGAGTAAACATAAAGATATGGAATTAGAAAACTAATTTAACTCTGTCACAAATTATTTTTCAAGATCCCTTAACATTCCATCTATATAGCAAGAAGCACATACACAAACAAACAAAAAAATCCAAAAACCAAAACCAAAACAAAACAAATAAAACCAAAATCAATCCCAATATAAAAGTAGTCTGGGCACTAAGAATATCTACAAAACAGGTTTTTATTTTTTATTATAACTGTTCATAATAGTTAATGTAGTCATATTTATAATTTTATATTAAAGATTATGATGAAAAGAGAGAAAGTCAAGTATTCAGATATTTCCCCAACTCCAGATATTTGACAAATATAGGATAAATTCAGAATATTAACTTGACAGGGATTTCAGACATATTTTCCACTTCTGCCTCCTTGATCTCCTTTATAAACATATCACAGGCATCTCCACATGTCCAAAAGTGAATTCCTAATCTTTTTCTCACAAGTGTTCCTCCCTAGTCTTCCCAGTCTCACTAATGGCACCCAAATCCATTCAGCTGCTCAATTAGAAAACTGGGTCTCATCCTTAGACATGCCCCACATCTAGACTATCAGTAAGTGGCATCAACTATACCTCTGACATATAGCTTAACTCCATTCACTGTTCTTTACCTTCACCAAGTGACACCTAACTGATCTCTGCTCCCACTCTTGCTCCTTCAATGCATTTTTTTTCACAGTAGCCAAATGATCATTTGAAAATGACTAATTTGATCATATCACTCACATGCTGAAAACTTTACAATAACTTCTTGTTGCACTTGAAATAAAGTAACAAATTTAAAATATGGTCAACAAGGCTGTGCATGATCTGGCCCTACTTACCTTGACAATATCATTTTCTGTCACTCATTATCCTATCATTAAACCCCGTCATGACTGATTTCTTTCAGTTCCTAAAAGGTATCAAGATCTTTCCTATTTTAGAGCCTTCATATAACATGTTTTACTTCTGTCTGGATGCTCTCCTCCACTTTTTATCTGGCTAACTCTTTTTTTTTTTTTCAATGTTTAGCTTAAGTGGCATGTCCTTAAAGAAGTCTTCTTTGACCCGCTATTTAATTAGCCACTTTACAATCTTTTACATTCACTTTAGTATTTTTTGCCAATTTATATTATAGGTGTATTCTTTTTTTTTTTTTAATTTTTTTAAAAATTTATTTCTAGGAGAGAGAGAGACAGCGTGAGCAGGGGAGGGTCAGAGAGAGAGGGAGTCACAGACTGAAACAGGCTCCAGGCTCTGAGCTGGCAGTCAGCACAGAGCCCGACGCAGGGCTTGAACCCACGAACCGTGAGATCATGACCTAAGCGAAAGTCGGACGCTTAACCGACTAAGCCACCCAGGCGCCCCCATGTTATAGGTGTATTCTACCTCAGGCTTACATGTTTTTGAGCAAGAACTATTCCTACTTTTTTTGTGTATCTCCATTTTCAGCTTCTGTGCTAAGAACATAATAAATACTTAATATTCTTTGAATCACTGAAAGACTAAATTAATGAAAACATCCAGTTAGCTCTGTATTATATAAACGTAATCAAGACTAGTTAGCCAAGTTGGCTAGAGAGCTGATGTTGACTATCTAAAGTGGCCACATGCTCAATGAAGGGCAGATAAGGATCTGTGGGCATGTGTTAAATTTTAAATGTTCTGGGGTGCTGGGTAGCTCAGTCAATTAAGCATCCTACTCTTGATTTTAGCTCACATCATGATCTCATGGTTTGTGAGATCCAGCTCTGAGTTTTGCTCTGTGATGACAGCATGGAGCCTGCTTGTGATTCTCTCTCTTTCTCTCTCTCTCTCTCTCTCTCCCCCCCATTCCTGCTTACACTCTTTCTCTCAAAATAAATAAATTATCTTTAAAAAATTTATGGTGTGGTACCTGGGTGGCTTAGTTGGTTAAGCATTTGATTTCAGCTCAGGTCATGATCTCGCAGTTTGTGAGTTTAAAACATTAAAATAAAGAAATTTTTAAATGTTCCAGAGAATTTTGGCTCTCCTGGTTAAGATGAATCATGACACACATTTCATAACAGAGCTGATTTCATTTTGCCTTGCATTAAAGTTAGGTGCCTTTATGTCTTTCTCTCCTGTGTGAATTTTCTGATTCTTCTATCAGAATCACATCTGTTTCATCTTCATCTTCCCTGGTGCATGAGAGTTCCCACAGTATGAGTTAAACATTGGTAGAAATTTATTTTAAATACATCATCATTCAAAAACACAGAATTATAAGATGTCAAGTGAAGTAAGCATTGCAAGGTATCATCACCTTTAATATAGAGACTAATTATTTAATTTACTGAGTCAGCACTTCCAGTGTTTAAGGCATTGGCAAAAGCATTAGGAATTTAAACACTGACTAAAACCACTTCTTTTTTTTTTTTTTTTGTATGTCAGTAAATTTTGTGTAGAAAAAAAAAATCTCCATCAGTGACCTCTGCATGGTGACAGTACAAAAATGTATGAGTGACTCAACATAACTCGAATAGGAACAAAAGGCCCACACCCCTCAACATAGGGATGTGGCATGAGTCTGGGATGCAAGGTTAGTTCTAACAGTTTCCTGGTTTTCCACAGGTGAGTAAGTAAACCAAATCTATCATACATATGCCATGCACCTTTGGGTTATTGTCTGGGTATTCTTAGTGGATTATCTGTCCCCATTTCCCCTTTTCTATGTCCCACGGCAATTCCTGCCCTACTCCGAGCTCAAAGGAGAAAACCAGACTGCAGAAGCCAACCAGAGGGGGCCTTAGTACCAAAAGAAAGATCCCCCAAACCTCTGTTCCTGATAAAATTCACGAATTTGGGCTATGGATTCCCTAGAACCTTGAAAAGCTCTGCTGAGCTGCTGGAGGTCATCAAGTGACTCAGCCAGCAGGAGGCCAGCTAATGGATGCTAATGCTTTGCTGAGTGCTTCAAACTGGCATTAGCTTTAGGGCTGTGCTAAATAATTGCTAATTGACTTGTAGAAATATCTACCTTTTATTTATAAATAGTATATATTTTAATAGAAATAGTATAATGCTGAAATTGTTGATCTTTAAAGCAACTTGCAAATATGAGGTTAAGCAAATGTGTAGGTTAGAAAGTCTTTTCTTTCATACCACCAGACATTGTGGTAAGCAAATGCCTTACTTCTTTTTTTTCCCCGCCCAGATTTAATTATGTGACTTTAATGCATTTGAATTTAGCCCAAGAGCAATCTTTGTTTATTTTCATCACATTACCAAGCAATTATAGCAAAGGCTGAAGCCATTTGTAGTAAAGAATACTACAAATAGCATGTATATATAGGTAATATTTATTTGGCAGTCAATTTGGGCTGACCACTGCTCTAAATACTTTACATGAATTGGTTCATCTAATCCTTGCATTTCTAGGGGCAAGTACTATTACTATCTGCATTTTGTAGATGAGAAAATTAAGGCTCAGAGAGGTTAAGAGATTTGCATAAAGTCAAACAACTAGTGAGGTGCTAAGGTAGGTTCTAACTACACATTTTGACTCTGCCGGCTACACTCCACCAGCAAGATTTAGTTAAATGTTTAATTCTCATAAACCCTATGGGACCAATACTACCATTATGATCCCCATTTAATAATGAGAAGATTTCCCAACCAATATCACTCTGCTAGTAAGTGGCTGAACCAGGCTTTTTTTTTTTTTTTTTAATGTTTTATTTATTTCTGAGAGAGAGTGAGACAGTCTGAGCTGAGGAGGGTCAGAGAGAGAGAGGGAAACACAGAATCTGAAGGAGTCTCCAGGCTCTGAGCGGTCAGCACAGAGCCCGACGTGGGGCTCGAACCCACGAACTATGAGATCATGACCTGAGCCGAAGTCAGACGCTTAACCGACTAAGCCATGCAGCTATCCCTGAACCAGGCTTTTAAACTCAGTCCTGTCTGATTCTTGGGTCTGAGATCTTAAATACCACCCACTACTGTCTTTACTTATTTCCTTTTAAATCCCATTTAACATTAGAGATTAAGTAGATTTTAAGGGAAATAGAAATAATTACTCAAATAATATAGTAACTATCCAGTCATAATCTTCTAAAAATATTTAAAATACTGTTAAGCCAGTTATTGGATTTTTCTAAAATATTTGAAATACTGTTAAGCTAATATTAAATGTCATCATTCTGAAGAACAGAACTCAAATGACTGTTCTTAAAAAAGTTAATATAATGATACATCTCACTGTTTATGTGATTCCCCAGGGTAGCTACAATTGCCTCAGGGGATTTGTGAGCCTTTAAAAACATAAATTTTAACTTATTTTGACTATTTCAAATATAAAATATTATGTAGTATTTGTTGGGTATAACACATGAGAGTATTATAAATCAAAACAAATCACAACAGTATTATAAAAATATAATAACTTATTTCAGGATATACCAGTTAAATTATTATCATTCATATTACTATTTTATTAAAAGAAGAGTCACCATTTATATCCTAAAAATTAGAAAGAATTTATATGTCAGTCAAATCATGATGATGCAGTAAGATTAAAATTTATAGAAAAATATAAATGGTTTATATTTACAAGGCCATTGCTTATAAGGACATTCCTACATAAATCTGTCCTTTCTTTCTTTGAGTTCATATTAACAGTATTGATTTCCTTGGCCTTTTATAAAAACCACTATTGTAGGATTTCAAATCTCTAGGCAAGCACTGAATGTCAGAGCATAAAAGAAGAGAGTACATCATAGGTGGAGTATGGTATAAATTTTAGTCAAATGATGTCTTATTGTGAGTCATTTATGTTTTTATTACCTTTAGGCCCTTTGAACAGTTTGATTTCCACGACGGTCTCCAGAATGGGGCGTCTTCTACGCACGTACAGCCGAACGATGGAGCCCGCTTCTTTGAGGGCTTCCACCGCCTTACTGTGGGAAACCTCTGACACATCGACCTCGTTCACCCGCAAGATACAATCATTGACCCTGAAAGAAAGGAAAGATGCAAACGTTAGGGGTGGCTAGGAGGATTTTTTAAAGAATACTGTCATTGTTAGCTACCCTTAAGAAGTGGGGGAATGAAGTAAGCAATTTTTAAGTTTTATATTCGGAAGAAACAATCCAAATGAAAGAAATGAAGAAAACCTTGAACTCCCCAGTCTTCCTGGCATTTCCGAATGTACTGCACTATTGGTCAGACCCCATCTGGGACTTCAGTCCATTGTGACAGGAAGCACATTGCACATGGTGTGGTAAGAAGGACACATCTGAAGGTCTCTGTTCTTTACATGATTATTTTGGCTAGTTTTAACAGCTTTAACTGAGGGTTATGATTGCAGTGGTTCTCAGGATCTACTACAGACTATACAGACATAGCAAATGTAACATTATAGATTAATTTTTCTTGAATTTTTAATTTGCTAGTTACACAGGTAATATGTAGTCATTTTAGAAAATTTGTAAAATGTAACAATGTAGAAAGAAGAAAATATATACATGACTCAATCATCTAAAACAAACCTGTTAGATTTCTGGTAAATTATCTTCTAATATTTTTTCTATGCTGCTCTCCCACGTCCAATTCATAAAGCAGTATTATAGATATTAAAGTTCACATTTCACAAAATTCAAAGAAAATCTCAGATAATCTTTGCCTTAGGTGTTTACTCTGAAAAACCCAGCATTATGGTAAGTCCTATATAAACCTTCCTTTTTGCATTTTCTCTTGGGAAGGAATAATTTGACTTTTCTATAAAGCTATCCACGTGGTCTATATTTACATATCCATGGAGTTTAAATATCTTTTATATTCATGATAATTAGTAAAAATTTTAATAATAGTTAAAAGTATGACGTTTGAGACTAGAAAGATTTCCTTTCTTTATTCAGAATATCCATTCTAGTATTTCCCATCTCAGTTCACTGTGATGCTAAGAGTAAAACATAAGGGCCTGCCCTTGCTTGACTTCCCTATCCTACAACCACCACACATTCAGGTCTCCCTACAAAGTATACCAGCAATCCATTCAGCTTTCTTCATCTGTACTGTTATCACCCTGGTTGAAATCAACATCATCTCTCATTTGGATTATTTATATGGCCTTCTACCGACTCATCCTAGAGCCTCTCTTCTCAACTTTTAATGCATTCTCCACACAGTGGCCAAGGTAAAGCAAACACCACTAATTGGTTACTTACCCATCTCCGATTCTCCATTTCCTTCTTCCCAACAATGCCTGATGTCTCAGGACATCTATTCCTTAGCAAATAGTTGTTAAACCAATAAAATAAGAAGCCCAAGTTCAATTATTAGGCCTTCTATATCCTAAGTTTGTCAACACTAATAATTAGCCTCTCAGACTCTGTGTTCACATCTATAAATAAATATACTAGAAATATCTACAATAAAGACTTGGGGGTGATTAAATGAGATAATAATGTACATGTAAGTCTTTAGTACAGATGATGGTATGTAATAAGCACTTAATAAATGGTTATTGGTAGCACTGAAAATTTTGATTTATGATATTTTAATGATTACATCCTTTCCATCAACTTGTGGAATAAGACTTACTATTCACATTATAGACATGAGAATTGTTCCAAGTGATCTAGTCCTTTATCTAAAGCTGTCAGCAATTTGGGTAGAGACTGGATATGATCTCAGGTCTTCCTATTGCAAAAGTTGGGCTCTCTCCTTTCAGCATTGCATACATTTAATGTGATGAACAGTTTCATGTATACTGTGCACATTAATTCAAAATTATAACATGGTAGTGAAAATATTGTATAAAAAATGAGAAGAATTTTTCTATCCATTTTTTCCTGATTAACCTCAAAACTCTGAGGTGTAACACTGCGCTTATTAAGATTCAGTGATGTCATTTGATCACAACAGATTCTATGGCTTTAATAGGTTTACACATACATTTCCTCCCTGACCAAAAAAAAAAAAAAAATGGAAAATTACCAATTAAAATAGTTTTTGAGAATGTAGGCAACCCGGGTGCCAGCCGCCCTACAGCAGCTGGTCCTTTGAGAGGGGGTAATTTTGTCATCCTGTGATAATGCAAACACATAGTGTTTACCATCACCCTATGCTTAGAATATTAATCGTATCTTAAAACACTGCTTTCCATAGAAGGGAGGGGCTGACATTTAAAAAAAATTGTGGATGCTCTATCTATTCAAACTGTACTAAATTTTTCCCTTTGTATATAGCGGAATCCTTAATTGTCAATTGCTGGGGTGAGGAAATCATCGCCTAAATTGGATGTTTTTTCCTGAACATGTGGAGGAAGTAGGCAATTTTAGTGTAGTTAAAAGAGCATCAGAGTAGCCTTTAGAACACTTGGATTTGAGTTCCAGCTGTGTGACCCTGGTCAAGTCACTTCATCTGTTTGAGCCTTCGTCTCCATGAAAAGAAAGTAAGTATGCCCAAAGTGGGTGGGCAGAGTAAACAGACAGACAATGCATATGGGTGTATGTGTGACCTATTGTATAGAGTACATGTGAGAGTTGCTGCTATTGATCGATAAGTCAAAGATGCTGTGCTCAAGGACTTACTGAAAGGTGAATGAGATGGAAATGGAAAGTTTTAGAGGGCTTGCTATACACCGTATCATTCTAGTCACTTCATTTATTTACTGGTACTCAACCCCCACCATTTAGCAAACATTGATTCTCATGTTACAGACAATGAAATTTTACTGACAAGGTCGCAGTGTTGTTGAGGGCAGAGACATGATTCCCAACCTAGTTATGCCCTTTTCTGAAGCCTATGCTGATATCGAGTTACTCAGAATTGATTGTTTTAAATTAAAAAAAAAATAGGGGTGTGAGGGGCAGAGTTTATATATTCAAATTCTCAAAATATAGAGGAATGAATACTAGGGCAAACTAGGGCACCCAACTTCTCTTCCTCCCAATCACTTAAAATAGCATCTGACTAGAGGGTCATAGCTATTTAAAATTAATTTGCTTTTACTATTAGTAGATAACCTTTGTGAGGAAAGCCTCCATTTGCATTCATTTTGAAACAAAAATATATCATTAACTTCAAACTCAAGCAATGCTTTGTCCAAATAAAAAGTACAGCTTTATTACATTTCTAATATGTATTAGAAAACATTTCCTTTCCACTCTACTCATACAACTGAGTTGATGGCTCCATTTTTTCAGTTCCTGTTGTTTCAAATATAAGTCTACAATATTCATTTCGTGAAATGAAACTGTCCAAGAGATTGGAAGCCTACTTTTAATCTTTCTGTTGTCTCATTTTCTTTAGAATTTGGGTACATTTCCTTGCAGAAAATGCTTTAGAAATTAAAAAAAAAAAAAACATTTCATCAATAACATGTAAATGGAATCACACCTAAATTTTCCATTAAACAATTAATCATTCTGGACTATGATATAGGATCACTGAAAACCCAAATGATACCTGGCAAATTATTTGTTCCATTTTAAGGATATAGTTTAAATAACATCTATTACTTACTCTTTCATAGGTATTAAAGTAATGTTCTGTTGTAAAATGAGCTTAGCTCATTATTTTTTTAGGATGATGATTTCCTAAAAATGATCACCAAATGCTTGTGTTAAAATTAAAAATTCCTGTTCATTATGCATTTAAAAATACTGAAAGGAGAGATAACAAAGTTTTTAGCTCTTGTTCTTTGTGGATGTAGATATAAAGGATTTTTTTAATGTTTATTTATTTTTGAGAGAGTATGAGTAGGGGAGGGGCAGACAGAAAGGGAGACAGAGAATCTAAAGTGGGCTCCTGTGCTGCAGACACAAAGCTGATGCAGGGCTTGATGCGGGGCTTAAAATCATGAACTGTGAGATCATGACCTGAGCCAAAGTCAGACATTTAACCAAGTGAGCCACCCAGGTGCCCCAAGATTATGGATGTCTTAAAAAGCATACTTCTATTTTTGTGTTTCTTCCCAAGTTCTATAATGGACATATATCACAGCAGAGAATCTATGAACATGGACCTGGGGGTCTTGTCACACTCTGATCCACCTGGGGTCTTATCCCAGCTCTAGAACTTAGGAGCTATGTGGCTTCAGGCAAATCACATGACATCTCAAAGTCTCAATTTCTTCATCTGGCAATAGGGATAATAATATTGCTGCATGGATTTAGATGAGACAATACATGTGAAATAGTACAGTGCCTCACAAACTCTAAGGTATTATATTCATGAAAAAGGGATAAATGATTTGCCTAAGAAAGATAAGAAGTGATTATAGTGGAGGAAAGAAGCTACAAAAGGTAGAGGAAGGGAGAGAATTTACAGTCAAGATACTGAAAATGTTTTTGAAATTTTGTATGAGAAAGGGAGGAAGAAGTAAGATGAATGGGATTTGGGGGAAGAAAAATGTAAAAATAAGAGCTTTCAGTAAGTCTTATTTTATGAAGTATAATGTAATTCCACTTTAGTTTTACTCCTCTGCTGCCCCCAAGAAAACAGCCAATTGTTTTGATACAACCTGTATCACACACACACACACACACACACACACACACACACACACACCAAGGCTGACCTGAATGGCTTCAAATCATTATGACCTTTCCCGAATTTACTTAGTTGTATATGTCTACTCTCTTCCTGCACCCTTTCATGAAGTGCACATGAATGCTCCCTGGGAATCTTAAAAATCCACCATCAACTAAATTTGATGAAATTTCTCACCTTAAAAATTCACCAATTAGGATTCCTGGGTGGCTCAGTTGGTTAAGCGACTGACTCTCGACTTTAGGTCAGGTCTTGATCTCACAGTTTGTGGGTTTGAGCCCCATGTTGGGCTCTGTGCTGATAGTGTGGAGCCTGCTTCAGCTTCTCTCTCTCTCTCTCTCTCAAAAATAAACGTTAACAAAATCATCTATTATATTGACCTTACTAGGTGCTATTAGTCCATTATAACTGAGAACAAAAGAATCAAAGTCAGCTTATTTTAACAGTTTTCCAGAAA